CGCCTGCAACACTCGAGTTCAGTGCTCACTTTGCAATCCCCTTCAGGTGACACCAGCAGCATTTTCTCATTGCGCCTATCCGGTGACGATGCAGCTTCGAGCACTGACCAAGCCGGTGTTGGTATTGCCCTAAGTCTCCGGGCTGAAGCTGCTTTGGTTGATTGGAATTCAAACAGTAGCCCGTTGTGTGCGGTCCGACTGGCTTGCTCATTCAATGCTTCGAAGTCGCGCAGGACTGACAGGTGTCTATTCGTCATCACTGCCTATGCACCCACAAAGTCTAGTGAAGATTTGGTAAAAGACGACTTCTATCGTCAGGTGAACGAGCTTCTTCGCGACAGAAGAAGCTCGGACACTGTTGGCTGAGGATCTGATCGCTCAAGTTGGAAAATTATTCACTGATGAACTGCATCTGGGCGGCCAACATAGTGTAGGCTCCCGTGCTGATAACGGTGAGCGGTTACCTCATTTGTGTGCAGATGCCCGCTTATTTCTTGCGAGCACTAATTTCCGACACAGTAACCACCGGAGGGTGACTTGGCGCTCACCAACCTCGAACCAGCTATGGACGCAAATCGATCACATTGCGATAAGTTACCGACGGAGAGGCTGCGTCCAGAATTGTCGCTCCATTTGGAGCACATGTGTGGACACCGACCACGCACTTATATGTGCTGACCTGCGGATGTGTTTTGGCCGAAGCCCAAGCCGATGTTGTGAGCGCATTGACACCAGCCAGCTGACAATGCCAGCTGTTCTGAATGCGTATCGAAGTACGCTGACATGCGGGATGAGTAAGCGCTCATTGGAGATGACTGATGGCCACTGGTCACATGTTCGCCAGACCTTACTAGCAGCAGGCAAATCCTCATGTGGTAAGTCTAATCGCCAACATGGACATTGGGTCGGTTCACAGTCTCTGGAACTCATTGATGCTCGCCGGCAAATCCCGACTGGAAGCGAACACAATGAAACTCGCAAAGAGCTCCGGGCAAAACTCCGTGCTAGCCCGAAGAGAGACCGCGAATCCTGGTGGTCTCATCGTGCATCAGAGATGGAAATGGCCGCTGTCCTTGGTAATCATCGTAAGTTATTCCGTCTGATACAGGAGACGGGCAGCAGAAGACCTGGTGTTAGTGAAACCATAAGTGAGGAGAGTGGACAGCCTATCCACAATCTGTGAAAACGTTTGGAGCATTGGGCTGAGGACTTTGAAAGGTAATTTAATCGGTCGGAATTGTTAGATTTCTCGCCGGCCACTGACCGCCACGCTACCTGGGCTGTGCGTTTGGATGCATCCTCACGAGCAGAAGTCGAACGTGAGATCGCACTGCTGAAGATAAGTTAAGTCGGGGGACCAGATGATCTTCCTCCAGCCCTCTTCAAATTCGGGAGCCCTGCTCTTGTGGATGATTTATACGAGTTACTAGTGAACCTGTGGGAGCAGGAAACTGTCCCAACCGATTGGAGCCGCTCCAGTCATAGTTCCAATTTTCAAGGGATGCTCACGATCGGAATGCGGCAACCATAGAGGAATCAGTCTGATCACCATCACCTCCAAACTGTTTGCCTCTGTCATCCTTCACAGACTGATTGACATTCGTGAGAGCCATATTCGTGAAGAGCAAGCCGGGTTTCGTCGAGGTCGTGGTTGCATTGACCACATCTTCACCTTGCGCCAGTTGTGGGAGCACCGTCACATAGATTGGCGGCCCACCGTTGTCGTGTTCCTCGAAATCAAAGGTGCCTTCGATTCGGTGGATAGACGTGCACTTTAAGAATGTCTACTCAGGAAAGGTGCATCTAAGAAATATGTAAATATTATCCGATTATTATACGCACGTAGTTCGGGCAGGGTGAGGGCTTACGGCAAGCTGTCGTTGCTCTTTAATATCTCCAGCGATGTGAGACAAGGATGCCCGCTATCACGTTTCCTCTTCAACTTCGCTATTGACGAAGTCATGAAAATCGCGTAGAGCTACTCCCAGGAGAACGACTTCTCGACTTGGAGTATGCGGACTATATTGCCCTAATCTGTGACAGCTCCCAGACATGCGAAGAGGCACTGGACTGATTAGCACTGGTTGTCAGCCGCTTCGGGCTTTGTTTTGCATGATCGAAGTGCAAAGCGTTCCTCCAAGACTGGCCTGGACCTCCTCCTTTGTTGACCCTTGGTGGGGATCAGCTAGAAGTCGTTCAAAAATTCAACTACCTGGGAAGTTGTATCAGTGACCGTGGGATTGAAGATGAGATTACAAACCGTATAGCAAAAGCTCGAGGCGCTTTTGCTAACCTTTGTCATTTATGGCAGCGGCGCGACATCATTCTCGCCCTGAAGGGTAGAGTGTACCATGCAGCGGTATCTTCCACCCTACTGTACGGTTGTGAAACCTGGCCCCTTAGATCAGCGGACATAGAGAGCCTATTTGTGCTCGACCACCGGTGCCTTAGCAATTTAGCTCACATCTGGTGGGAACACCGCTTGAGCAACGAGCGCGTTCGACGCCTTGTTTACGGCACAGGAAAAGGAAATGTACCGCTCAGCACCGTTATTTCACGCACAAGGCTCCGATGGCTCGGCCACGTGTTACGCATGCCAGTCCACCGACTCCCGCGACGTGCGTTGTTTGCGCGCTGGGGGTGTGAATGGAAGAAGAGGAGAGGTGGCCAAGCGATGACTTGGTCGAGAAGAATGAAGGCCCTCACTTCCGAGTTGGCCTCAGTTGGAGCGCCACGGCTCCCTGGTTGGGGTCCGAAACACGATGAACACGTTTGGCTGGATACACTTGTCGATATGGCTAGGAGCCGACCTCAGTGGCGTTCGTGCTGTGAGTTTCTTTGTCCCACCCCATCCCTCTTAGTCTCTCCCTTCCAACTACGATCTATTTATCTACATTTTATAATTCTGCATAGTAAATTATTTTTTATGTTGCATAGTAGCCGGCTGGTAGCTTACTGGAACGAGGCCCATCCGTAACTGGTAGCTTAGCTGGCTTGTACCCGTTGCATTTTATTCCCTTTTTTATAGGTATTGCGGCACAGTAGCTGAGGTGTTTCTCATCTCTAGCTAACGTGTATAGTGTGTGTGTGTGTGTGTGTGTGTGTGTGACTTGTAGCGAGTAATGACCACAGCCTTCTTCCATTGTGATGCCACAGTACCGGCTTTCATAGAGAAAAATAATTCAGAAGTAGTACAGGGATGTCGGATCCACCTTTTTATCAGTGATGGTGGTAAATTGTCAGGTCCAGCATAACAAAGAAATGCCCTACGACCAGAATCCATCAATACAAAAAGTATGCCTCGGATATGTGTAACTAAACGCCGCTTGTGGAAAGATCAGACAGTCGAAGAGAAAGAAAGGTAGAGCGCCGGTGCCTCGCACCGATAATTCACTGGTATGCAATCAACAGTTATGGAGTCTGCGATGTCGTCCGCGCAAACACAGGCTCGGATCAACCACCTGTGGAGGAAAACCTCCATATGCGTGAGGTGCTAGGCCATCAGCCGGTAAGGATGAGCCAATGACCAATGGAAGTGTGGTAGCAGCTAGTCCGTAACGTAGACGAAGCAAATGAGGTCAAGGCAGGTGGACTCATGTTTACTGATCTTATGTTATGTAAGATGGCGATACAATGCAAACGCAAATCAGGCCATGGAAACAGAACGTAGGTGATTGGACGGCTGATGTGTAAACATGTGACAACTAAAACGATAGCCACATAAATACAACCAACATGCAGCGCTGAGCATCTGTGTGGCCGAAGGTTGAGAGCAAAGACGAGGGGGGTTGCGAAAATCAACATGTAGGTGTTGCATTTATTAGCCTGGGGAAGGGTGGTGACGACCGAACCTACAGCCTTGACGGCCAACCGCTATATCCCACACACCGTGAAGGACCTAGGTGTACGCTCGCGCTACGATTTAAAGTCCGTGGACAACATGAACAGGCTATATCGTAACGGACTGCGCATGCTCTGGGCGTTCAAACGTAGCTTCGGCATGTGTCTGAAGAGGTTGCCACTCACCTCTTTACCATCATTAGACTAATGCTAGAGTACGGTTCGCCCGCCTACTTTGCGATTAGCCGAGGCGAGGCACAAAAGATCGAACGGGTCCAACACATTGCTACCAGGCTCATCCCGAGTTCACGTGGCAAGGGGTATGAAGACCGGTGCGAGAAACTAGGACTCTACACCATGTCCTACCGTCGGGTGCGAGTCGATCTCATTATGACCCACCGTATTCTACATCCCGGTGACTTCCCCATGCTGAGGGCAATGCTGCACTTACGACGGCCATGCAGCACACGCGGACAGAGATGCAAACTTGTCGTGCCGGATTAGAAACGTGTTTCCCACGCACCGTGCTTCGAACGGAGAGTCGTAAATATTTAGAACAGCTTGCCTGAACATGTGATGGAGGCAAGATCTTGGAGGCAGTTAAAAACGTTGTTAGATTATATATTACCACTATTCGATTCAGAGAACGATTGCACACTTACGAGGACATGTCACATTTGTGAGTCCTGCAATACCGTGTGAGTCAGATATTTTAAATGTTACATGAGAACGATAATGATATTCACGGATGACAATTTGTATAACGTTTTTCACCATATTTCGAAAGAGTTGTACAGAATTCATTTCTATTTGCTCTATAATACAGTATTCACGATGCATTCAGTTGCAGTAGGATTAGGGTTAATTACAACGGGACGCTGTAACGAAGTGGCACAGAAGTACTTCGTATTGATGCTTTTCTGTCACAAATAAATATCGTCTCACTAATAAGCCAAGAAAATGTCTTCCTAAGCGGTGCTTCGGCTAGAGCACACTCATGTCGTCGCTAGCTCGGCGAAAACTATCCTCCAGACAAAACTGACGGAACACAGAGCCTCATTTGGGGGGAGCTGAGGGAACGGAATGTGCATACTCGAGTACAAGGTCACAATTCGCAACTTTATCTGGAAAAATCCATAATAAGAGCTTTGGTCACTCACTCTGTAGGGCCAAGGTTGGATTGCTTTGAATCGGAGTTGGAACGGGTATCCTCCTGTTGCCTCATGGGAACTGGCTCATGTTCCATAGCCGCACTGGTGGCTAACTTGATGAGACTGTACAGAACCAACCCAACCATGATGAGGCTTGTGGAGAACACGAAGGACAGGGGTTCGCTCATGAGACTTTAAAGCAAAGATAATGAGCAAGTGAGTAAACGGAGGGCTCAATGAGAAGATTTAAGATTAAGAAGAATAGGGGTCCAACAAGCACTTTCAAGTGGAAAGGAACTTAATAAAGGAAGTTGCTGAAATTGACTTCCGTACAATGATTAGAAAACCACCGAAAATGCACTCAATCGCTCACTCGTAACACCAAGCGCAGAGTGATGCACTCCAGGTCCACAGTTTACGACGCAAGCGTAACCACAAAGGAAGCGCCAGCTCATCAGTCACGTCTTCTTCAACAATATAATTGTTGACCACGTGCCAACTGGGAGGAGAAGAATGTGCAAAAGCACCAGGCCTTATTTGTCTGAGGTACTCAAGGATTGGTGTCAATTCGGCAATGAGGGCCTGACGCATGCGAATTGAGATTAACGAAGACTGGTTGATATCTCGTTGCTGGGGCGAGGAAATTGGTAACAAGTTGACGGGATGAACGTCCGAATTTGATGGGAACATATGAACGGCAGTTGTCGTGGAACTTATGCGCCATAAAAGGATTAGCTGACCAGCTTGTTCTGTGCAAATAAAAGGAGGAGAACATCTCAAGGATGACGAGGAAAATGAACAAGCTCAGAGAGAATAAAATTTGAAAGGAACCGAGATTAAAGTGGCAAGGTAAAAGAAATACACGCCCGCCAGGAAAAATCGGACACTGAGCTACTGCAGCGCGAAGATTAGAGGATTAATCACTGGACTCAACAAGGGCGCAGCCAAAGAAAAGGTAAAAGCGGTTAGACCAGGAACAGAGGTTGGTGGGAGCTAATGTTTCGCACAAAGGCATCATGCATTATTCTGGTGACACAACTGATCGGCAAATATCCTCATTCTCTTCTTTGATGTGGACTGTGTCGAGGAGCGACCAGTTGTTCACACTGGATGATTGCAACGCGCGTCTCAAGTGTAGTGTCACGAGTAAACCGGTGTAACCGAGTCACAAAGCATAAGTTTCATCAATAAAAAGGTTTAGCGTTTGCTTTCATTATGTGCTGCGCACAGACCCGAGGGTTCTTCTACTTAGACGCACTCATAGTGTGCTCACACTCAACCGCAAGAATTTATCATTGTTGGGGGAAGGAATGATTATGCTTGGAGAAAAGCGAGTTGTGAGGTGCGGGTGACAAGAAATCAGAAGTGGTGAAGACAAGTACGTCGACGTGGCATCATTGCGGAGATTTGGTACATCGCGGGGGTCTGTGGAAACATTTGTCACTACAATGGGACAGCAACATGGAGATTGTAGCACCGGGAACCCAGGAACAAGAAGGAACGATGTAGTGATAGGCGAAAAGCCAGTCGAAAGGACTGCGCTTTCAAGCACCCAACATCTAAAATTTTATTAGTCAGTTGGATCGATCGTACTCTCAGATTTCTCCTTAAAAAAATCATGTTCCTCCAAAGATCTCTCCAAGATGGTACTCACGGCTATGAAACCGAAACTGACGGATGCGGACGCCCCTAAATCCTTCCTGTTAGTTGTGTAACCAACTGCAAACCAGCCGATATTAGCCCATTATGTGTATTAGTTTGATATATTATTGGCTGAGTCAGGACTATCAAACAAAGAATGTCAGCCTTGTAGTGACTGATTATCGCTGCTTTCGCAGCATAGCTCATATCCGGTGGGAACACCGCATGAGCAATGAACGGGATGGGTGTAGTGTATTTGGTGCAGAAAGAGCGAGTGAACTGCTCGGAAACGTTGTAGCACGCACCAGGCCACGTGCTGCGCATTCCAACACACCAACTCCCACGACGTGTGATTTTGCGTGACAGGAGTGTGGATGCGATGCCATGTGATGACTTGGTCAAGAGGAATGAAAGCCCTCATTTTGAAGTTGGCGCCGGATGGTGACCCTCGAGTGCCTGGTAGGGTCCGAAGGGCGATGAACGCGTTTCGTTAAATACATCTGTTGACATGCTTGGGAGTTGACCTTAATGACGTTTGTGTTGTGAGTTTATTTGTCCCTCCCTTCCCTTTAGCTTCCTCCTCTAACAACGATGGCGTACTTAATGTATACTATGATACTTAAGGTTATATTAATAATCTTTTAGTTTTGTGGTCGGTAATGTTTAATATTACAGCACATTACCTGAGAAGTGTTTTCCGCCCTCTGCTATTGTGTATTGTGGATGATAATGTGTACGCATGTAGGGGCGTTCGAGCCCGTGATAACAGTGAGGATCATGTTGAGAAATCAATGGAGAGACATGACTTCCTTAAGGGGGAATTTGAAAGCGTTAATGATGCAAGTGACTGAGAACAGGTATAGTCAATCAAGCACTACACAGATGCCACCGCCGATAAGCCAAAGAGTTGATGGAGAAAGTGCAGATTGAACAAGCAACCAGGCAGTCTCACCACAGGATGAGTGAAACAGAATGTTATAGCGAACGAGGATAGAGCTGGTTGGTTGGAACAATGAAGATGAACTCATGGACTGGAGTAGAAACTGAGGAGTATAAGAAACGCTTTAGTTTATGAAAAGTTCTAATCGTCTTTGACCGACTCACGACGTTGTGAGGGCAACTATACATGCCAGTGTCGCGAATTTCGAGTTACAACAACGAACAAGCCATCTTCGAATTCGGTGCACGGAGGATAAAAGGTTATGATCCTTCGCATACGATGAAGTGCGATTTAGACACGAGCCCTATACTGAATGGCAATAATGAACAGTTGGAGATAGGACTAATTCGGGTCTTAAACAGCGATTGCGTCTGTGGGCGCAGGGGAACGCGGCGCTAACGTTCATGGAATGACTAGGTTACGTATAGAGACAATCAAGGAAAACGTCATTGGTGGAATGATGACGGTCGAGGTTCATTTGACGCTGGTCGACATTCCGCTTAGAGGAATGTGGCCAGTCTCGTCTTGCTTTGGTGAGGCTGACGGCCACATTACTCTAATAAGAATGCCGGCTAGTGTCAGTTGAACTCCGAGCGCCATGGTTTGTATTGTAAGGATGCACACAAAATGCACTGTGGACAGACACACACGTTAGTCAAAGGTGAAAAAACCTGTTTTTACGCCTCAATAAAAAAGGTAAGACATATGAAAAATGGACATGTTAAACATCAGCTATACAAAATTAAAAACAAAAAGCGATATTATGCATCGGAAACGAGATCATGATTAGACAGGGAAGATAAGAGAGACGGATGGGGACGGACAGCGGCAAGGGAACTCACAACACAAACAAGACTAATGTTGGCTCATTGACATGTCAACAAGTGTATCCAAATAAACGTGTTCATCATTCTTCGGACCCTAGCCTAGCATCTGGGAGGCACCAACTGAGGCCAAATTCGAAGTGAGAGTCTTTATTCCTTTTGGCCAAGTCCTCGCTTGGTCTCAACACTTCATATTGCATCCACATCCCGGTCACGCAAACAACATATGTCGCGGAGTCGGTGTGTTGGCATACACATCACGCAGCTTAGACATCGGAGCCTGGTGCGTGATATAATGGTGCTGAACGATTCACTCGCTATTCCTGCCGAATACGCTGTGTTCGCACCATCTGCGAAGACATCGATGATCGAATGTGACTAGTATCATTATGTCTGTCGAGTCAATGGACCAGGTTTCTCGAACATACAGGCTGCGCTATAAACTTTGCCCTACAGGGCAAGAGTGATGTCGTAACCACACCACAGGTGGCGAAATTGAGCAAAAGCGCATCGAGCTTCACAAAGATAGCTGCCAAGATACATGAATTTCTGGACGGCTTCTATCTGATCAACATGAAGGGGCAGCGAACGGTTTGGTCCTTGCCACTCTTGGAGACGGACTTTGTATTTGGGGGTGGATGGTGCAAAGCACAGATGAAAGTGATTAACAGGCAGAGTTAATTTTTCCAATGCCGCCTGGCACATTTGGGAACTGTATTAGATAAAAACAGTATGGTCGGCGTACTCCAAGTAAAGAAGTCTATCCCTATGGAGAAGACCCTCACTTTTTAGGTCATGCCTGAGAAAGGCCGTTCCGCTGAACCCATCAATGGCGAAGTTAAAAAGGAAAGATAACTACATGCAATCTTGTCTCACACCGCTGGAAAATTTGTAGGGTAGCGACAGCATACAATCAGCCTTTACTCTGTCCGGACTATGCGCGCACAGCGTTCTTATGGATTTATACATTCCTCGGGCACAGTTATCATGAGTAAACAATTCCAATGTGCACATCGACCCACTGAGTCGGGCACCTTTGATGTCAAGGTACACGACTAGGGCGTGCCGCCAATAGCTATGGCGGTGTTCTAACAACTGACGTAATATGAAGATATGACCAAGTTAGTTCAGACTTCGAGGGAACCCGGCCTGTTTCTCACGATCCTGGCTTTTACAGATGGGATTCAGTCGATAAAGAACGACAGACGCAGGTAATTGAGATCCAATTCGGAACATGAGCCTCCCTTGGAAATTGGGACTATGACGGAGCAGAGCCATCTGTTGAGACAGCCTCCTGCTCCCACTGCTTCACTAGTAAGCTCTGCAAATCTTTCACGAGGGTTGATCCCCCAACTGTGAAGATTATTGGAGGTGTATCTGCTTCTGCGGCTTTATTCAATTTCAACAGTCTGATCTCACGTTCGACTGCTGCGCTTCAAGGCGGATCCATGGAGAAATGCAGTCAACGCCCGAAAAGAAAGATGAGAACTCAGGTTGATTAAACTGATTTTCAAAGTGTTTGGTCCAACGCTCCAAGCGTTTCGCAAGCTGTGTATAGGCTGTCCACTCTCATGGCACCTAGTCTCTCTGACACCAAGTTTCCATCTCTGAAGCACGAGGAGACCACCAGGCTTCGCGATCCCTGTTCAGGTTGACAAGACGTTTTGCACTGATGTCTTTACGATTCTCACTGTGTTCGTTCCCAGCCGAATCACTTCGGCTAGAACCCAGAAGTTCCGGAGACTGTGTAGACTTCCTATGTCCAGGTTGACAATTTGATTACCACGCGAAAATATTTCTGCTGTCAAAAACGTCCGGCGGATATGCGACCAGTGATACCCAACTGTGTTTAGTGTGTCCAGATGCCAGCGTACTCTGATACGCATGCAGAACACCCGGCTTCGCCAGCTGGCTGGGGCCTATGCGCTCACAGCGTCGTTGTGCATGTCAGCCAAAACGCACTCGCAGATCAGCACATACAAGTGTATGGTCAGTGTTCATACATGTGCTCCAAATCGAGCGACAGCGTCTATGGCTGATGGGCGCTATGTCACCCTTCTGCGAGTGCTGCGTTGAAAGTAAGTGCTCGTGAGACATACACGAGCATCTTCACACAGGTGTATTAATCGCTCACCATCATCATTACGGGTGCCTATACCGCGTTGGAAGCGCAGATGTAGTTCATCAAGGAAAATTTTTTCAAATGAAGTTGGTAGCAGCGGCGTTTTGATTCTGATAAGCGGCTCGCATGCGCAGCAAGCCCGTTAAAAACGGTAACAATATGCGTAACTATGGAAAAATAGATAAGGGATGAGCGTTGCGAACGTGGCTTATCTTTGGTGGTCACCGATATACACGCGTTTGGGGTGCAAGTCAAATTAATGAAAACGATGCCTGAAAGTCGATAGAATATGAGCGAAGCGCTAACAGCACCTATTGCCCCATGGACAAAAGCCATGCGGTTTGCAAGGAAAGGGGATACCAATCTGAGGAAGTCCTTTGAAATTGTAAGAAAGACTTGAGCAGTACGCTGGTGCGACGCGCAGAAGCTTGTGGTTGTAAACCGACCATCATTAGTCGCATGCTGGCTGTGAAGTCGCCCGCACATACGCAGATGCGAACCGCGGTGACCTTTGAGTTTCAGGGTAGACGCTTGTCCTATCGATTGCCTGTTTTTGGGCCATTTGTCACAAAATGACACCCTTAACTGGACGCGTAGCCGGCTGTCGTGTTTGGATAACTGCGGAAGGGTGAAACGAGCTTCATTTAGCAACTGAGAACAATGGCCTTCTGTTAGTAACCTCGCGGAATTGTGTAGAAATCATGCGACAAAAGGTGAGCAGCGTAAGGTGTAAGTAGTGAAAAAGTAGAGACCAAAGCAATACCGAAGGATCGTATTCGATAAGAGGTGAAGCGGATCAGTGCATCTGGATACATCCAAGGCAGCACATATAAGAAATGTATATCAAGCAACAGTTGATGTAAAGACCCGGACAGCAAATGATAACCCGAGATACATAATGACAGTGCTATAGACACCGGTCGTTCAGTCTTAGGCGAAGTAAAACAGGCAAAACGTAAGGCAGGTTTGATCGTTTAACAGATTTGCAAACAACTACTTAGCAGTGTCGGAGGGTCGCCAATACTGGGTCATTATCCGAATATCAATTGAAGATTAGGAGACAGTGTAGGTTTATGGAAAAAATCCGAACCACAATCCAATCCCTAGGTAGAAATAACAACACGACGAAACTATTAGTGATAGAGCATCCGTAGTGATTACTTGGTTGAGAAATGTCCGAACCAGAAGTCACCGATTCTGAGAGCCGACGGAGCCACGAGGATTGGCGGTCAACATAAACATGCACAGGTTGGATGTGGTGTAGCAGTGTGTCTGCATAAGTGCGTTGCAGCAGACGGGCTCGAACATCAGGTATGACTGTCCGAAGTAATGATAACCAAAGATCTGCAAGACCATCCGATTGTTCTAAACTCGTGTGCTTGGAATGAAGAAGGAGCACGAGACACAAATGGCGGTGAAAATTGTGTCCATCACGACCACCATCCTGATGAGCTGTTCTTGCCTCAGAAGCCGATGTGTAACGGTTCTTAGGTTCATTTCCCTCTGTGGGGCAAAGATCTAAAAGACGCGCGGTGCTGAAAATCCTTGGAATGGACAACTGACTGTGTGACCGAATGGCCCAATCCATATCTGCTGGGGAGATCTTCGGTGCTGAATTGACGTAAATGGGTTTGTGCGGGTCCTCATGAAATATAAGTAGGCTTTCCTGAAAGTAACGAAGCAGAACGTGAAAAAGAATAGCTATAGTAAACATGCGGCAAGGATTCACCTCGGGAGACATGCAGTTATAACAGGACGTCACCTCACCAATTCGGTAAAATGGTGCCGAAGGGGATAAAATAATGCATGATAAAATAAGCACAAAGGTAGACTATACTCATAACACACCGACTTAAAGTATAGGTTTCCGGATGAAATAGCATTAGAAAAGCAAGACGGCCCAAATGGTGTTGTAGAAGAGATGTATGGATGATTAATACACTCAAATGATCACTAAGATCTCGGAGCAAGCACAACGCTAGCTGGTCCGAAGATCCGGTCGGAAATAGTTTATGCCAGGTGGTCCCAGATTAAGTATATAAGCCCTGAGACGCACAAGTGTTTAAATCAGAAGACTGAATAATTTGCGTATCACTTAATTAGCACGCAAGGTATGGAGTGGAGTATAAGAAATTGATGTAGGACAGCTAGTTCGACGATTCCTCCATATCAGGTGAAAATATACAGATATATTAAATGTGTGGACCACAAATGTAATGGAATCTTTAACAATGAGCGCTAACATACCTCGTCGCGAGGAAGCCGAAAAATATTGACCAGAGCACGGGCAGTCTGGAGTTCGGTATTCACAAAACCAGCTGCCATGTGATCAGCCGCGCGGAAAGCAGCCAACACATAGCGCAACGATGGTACTGCCAGCGGTTTGAACAAAACCATCCGAGGGCGACTGTCTTTACGCCAATTAAAATGGAAGTCTGTGAAGAATGTCGTCTCGCTGGAGATAACTTGAATCAGTGGTGTATCCAGGGAGGTGCTCAGGAAGGACGGAAGAGCCTTTGAGTTAGATGGGTTCGAGTGCAGCAAAGTTTGACGTAGGGTATCGATGATGGAACTGTGAGTGAAAACGCTTCGGCTGTAATGGGAAACCTGATGAGGAGTGGGAGGGAGAGGCACAAAGATAGTACGCACACACTTTACACGAGATAGTAATATAATCGAATGAGTTAGCTGACTGTGCGCAGCAGTGCCCGGTAAATGAAAGGAAACCCTATGGATTCCTCAGGTTGATGGAGATAAGCTTCTGCCAGTTTGATGAACCACGACAGTCCCGCTTTTCACACCCGCAAGACCCACACCGTTGATCATGGTTAGCGCTCAGTAACGGTCGGACAAGAGCCCCTCCATTGGCCCTGATTATCAAATGCTTGACAGCGTAGTACGCTTTGCTTTAAGGGAGTGCATTGTTTTGAAGACTCTTGCGGGGATCTAAATTGGCATCTGATTGAACAGCGATGAAGCAATAGATTAATGGAATTATCAAGGGTGAAAAAGCAGGTGTTTAGGGAGTCCCGTAGGCAAAGGGTGAAAGCAAAAAGCAAATGTCCCAAGAGAAAAAGTGATGCGTATCATAAGTGGACTCACTGTATGTTTCACTTTTGCACACACATTGGTTACGTAATGTTTTGATCTAGGAACCTGGGTTCAAATCATGTAATGCATCAGCAAGTCGAGTTAATGTGTGAAAGATGTCGGAACGCAGAAGAGTTTTGCGACTGGGATACACGAAAGGAAAATACGTCCCGGCAGCATTCCAACCGGCCATACTATGTGGTCAATTTCAAATCGTGGCCCCTCAGTGTGGTTTGTGACTGAATCTCATATAGTGTCGGCATCCGTCGTTGGCATCCTTGAGGATCAGATACAGCAATATAAGGTCACCTCGTAAATGATGACATTGTCCACCGAAAATACACCGAGGCCCTCAGCCTAAGTTGGTAAAAGAGGTGGAGCAATCAGTTAACATTTTCAATCGCTCTTGGTCGTGGAGTTTCCAGTGCAGCGAAGCCATGTTTTTTCCATGGGTGCCAGACCTGGCTAGCGCACTTCACATTTGGCCCAACGTAGGAGTTGAGCATTTGCGAGATTGTGGAATCCAACTGATCAAAAGTCCATTGCAAGAGATCCAGATGTTGATCGCTTTTCTCACCTCTTTTTCGGCGTTTTAAGCAACTGAGATCAGCCTGCAAAAGCATCCCAAGATCACTTTCATGGGAAGTGCGTTGAAAACGCGATTTCCTAGCCGATATTTGTAGGTCATCTGGTGATGTATGTTCAATACTTTGCAGTTGGCTGCCTTGAACGCCAAGATGTGAACTGAGCACTATTGAGAACTGGTGAGGTTGTCTTGCAGTGGTGTGTCGCGGTTGTCTAAAATTGATGGCCCGCCAAACAGTGTAAGAACGCCTTTGAACCACACACTGGCTAATGGGCGGTTTGAAAAATGCTGCTTCGCCTAATGCATACAACGGGATGGATAAGCAAGAATACGCTACAGTGTCACCTACTTTCACTTGACCCGAATCACCTCATACTTGCCTCTGATAAAGCATATTAGACCTTAACTCTTGGTTATATACTCAAACAGTCGCATACATACGCGGAAAGAATGAGAAATGGGATGCCGGGACGCATACAACGCTGTCTCAGGCCAAAATTCTACTAACAGTGCAACGCACGGCAGTGGCCAACACGGGAATTAGTCAACATGGTCCTAAGATTGTAGCATTCGAGAGGACGCGGAAGGCTGATAAGGATAAGCTGCGTAGAGGCGATGCTCATTACACCATTAAACAGAATAGGAATGCAACTGCAACGTAGCGTGAGCAGGGTGTAATAGTTGCCATTACGTGAATGGTGATTAGGATGAAAATTCGTTTAGTGTCTGCTCCAAAATAATGTCACTGTATCTGTGTTCCGAGGAGCGCGAGTACGCTATTTTTATTAGAATGCATGGCCACACCATGCATTATTGTGGTGGAACATCAGACCATGACTGGCTTACCGAACCAACTCTTCGTGGTGCCAGCTGGTTAGTTCCGGATTAGCCTGTTCCAGAGAATGGTTCGACAGCAGTGTTCCAGGAGGACATAGGTTTTCGCTTGGCAGGAGTTCTTCCTATGAAAAGTCCCAGATATCTCATTAATTGCATTATGACGTGGCGGAAGTGACTCAGCACTAAATATAGTCACTGACCTTAGCTTCAGATCAGTGAAGCACTGTAGTCCAGAGTATGGGCGCAAGCTGTATTTGGCACCTGTTTGGCATTTGAACTGAAAAAATCGGCCACCGGCTCCTAATGGGCGCGATTCTCTGACTTCACCCCGCTGCCTTGCGGATAGGCAGTTTAGTCGAAGAATGGAGGTGTCCTCCTACCCCAATACAACTCCCTACCTCATGCTGGGCAACACAGTAGCATCACGCCCTCTAAGGAAACCATGGATTTCTGTGTTGTGTCTGGTTTTCTTCTCACGATAACTGCACCTTCCCTTGACTTTTATGGTATTTGATGATTTCATGATTGTTCTCAGACTGCTGAAAAAACTAAAGATAATACAATAGACCAATTTCATTCTCCTTAGCCTATATGATATAGCCTTAGCCGGGTGTGACCGACTATATTAGCCAAGCAATTTCAACGTGCGTGCCTTGCGAGGCACCATGGTGTGGGTATGTGGCTGGCTTACCGAACTACATTCTCGTGGTGCCAGCTGGGTGGTTGGGGTGTATTCTGTTCCAGTGAAGTGTTCGGCGATGGTGTTTCACCTCCGTGGGACATCGTAGTCCAGCAATTGTGCTGATTTTGTGGGGAGTATTGGGTCCCTGTTTGGTGATTTACCAAACAAAAGACGCATAAACTAAAGATTCAGTCAGTGACTACCAATGGGCGCGATTCCTTCAATTCGTCCCGCTGCCTTGAGGGTGTTATTTAGCCAAAGGGTCAGGGTGGGGTCAAATAAGTCAACTCCCTACTTCGGCTGGGGCAACGGGGTAGTATCACGCCCTCTCACATAACAATGGACTGCTCTACAACGTGTTCATCGGCTACCGTTTCTGCTTCTTACATTCACGTGACTTCATCACACGCCAATTGTTTGTTTGCTAACAATCCTCATCTTCTGTTACTCGATTCATGTGCTCAACAATCTAGCTGCGATTTCGGTTGCGCTGCGGACCAAGAAGTTCAACCTATGGCTCTCCTTCGTCCCCGATCCTCGTTCCGTCTGGTGTGCTTCAACGTTTGGACACTCATGCAGATTGGACAGCAAGCCGGTCTAGCGCGCACCCTAGATTCCCTACACATTGATGTCTGCTGCCTTTCAGAAACCCGATGGCAAGATCCAAGCACTGTGTTTACATTGACACCCCTCACTGACCAAGAAGCCAGATATCATCCGCATCTTTCCGGTGATCCAGAAGCAGTTTCAGCGGGTTTGGTTGGTGTAAGTATAGCACTGTCGCAAGGTCGAGGCGGCATTACTGGACTGGTTCCCGATTGACAGCCGGCAGTGTGTAGTTCTGCTTTGGGGTTCATGTAGAATCAACAAGCGCCGCGAGGAGAGACGCAACTTGTTTGTGATCTCCGCGTACGCTCCAATTGACTACATTAGTGGCTCGGTCAAGGACGACTTCTATCGGGAGCTACATCAGCTCTTGACTAACACTGAAAAGTCGGATATCGTTGTCCTTCCTGGGAATTTTAATGCACGGGATAACCGCCTGTTGCCATACGGACGCCATCTAGGTGGTCACCACGCGCTCGATGAGGGCCGCTCTGATAACGGAGACAGGCTTCTCACATTGTGCGAAGGCAACCAACTGCTTCTCTCGAGCACTAACTTCAGGCGTACGAAGAAGCGTTCCGCAACTTGGCGTCCCCCTTCGCCAACATATGCATAGTCACAAATTGATCACATTGCAATTAGCTTCAGATGGCGCGGCAGCGTACTGGACTGCAGGTCCTTTTGGTCCACCTTCGTTGACTCAGATCATGCACTGGTCTGCGCGAAAATCTGTATGTGTTTTGGGGGTCCTGAAATACGAAGCACCGCGAAAATGATGTCAACAGATTAACTGATTCCTCTGTCCAAGCAAGCTATCAGTCTTCATTGGCATACGCACTCAATTGCAATCCACCGCAAGACGTCGAGCAACACTGGACTTGTATACCGAAAGCAATGACCATTTCTGGACTGTCAAGCTGCGGCCTAACCCGATGCCCCCTAAAGGCTTGGATCTCTGCTCGTTTTGTGGAGCTGTTCGAAGGCTGTAAAGAAATCCCGGCGTAATCAGATGGCAACGGGCAGGGCCGTTCTGCCGACCGGCTGCTCTAGCAAAGCCTACGCAAGGATCACGAGGCATTGTGGTTTGAGCGTGCTTTAGTGATGGAGACAACTGCCCTCTCTGACAAGACTCGCAAGCTTATCCGACTCATTCGGTCCATCGGCCTCAGGAAGTATGGTGTAATGGAAGTTATTTGCGAGGTGGATGAGTCTGCGATCACCAACTAACAGAGGCGTATGAAACGCTGAGCCGAGCACTTTCACTCACAATTCAACTGGCCTCCACCGTCCATCAGTACATGCAATACACCTTTTGTCCACCCTGACTCGTCCCACTGAATCCACTCAGCAGAGCGGAAGTCTGCCTCAAGATTTGACGCTTGGATCGGTTCAAGACTGCTGGCTCAGACGGACTTCCTCCGAAGCTATTCAAGTACAGCGGCGTGGCGATCATTAACTAGCTGACTTCGCTGTTCGCAAAAATCTGACATGAAGAGAAAGTGTCCACCTCTTGAGGCGAATAAGTTATTGTCCCGTTTTCAAGAAAGGCGCTCGCAATTCATGCGTAAATCATTGCGGGATTAGTCTTATTTCGGTTACCTAGAAGCTATTGGCATCCTTTCTGCTCCGTAGACTATCCCCAATACGTGAATCAGCCTACCGTGAAGAACAAACTGGTCTCCGTCCCGGTCGCGGTGCGTGGATCAAAGCTTCACGCTCCCCCAACTCCTCGAACATCGTCATATCTATCACAGGCCCACTATCGTTGCATTCCTAGACATACGTGCCGCTTTAGACTCTGTTGATCGATCTGCTTTATGGCGTTGCTTGCTAAAGAACGGGGTGTCAGTGAAGAACACCGCCATCTTAGGAGCACTTCACGTGCATACCTCCGGGGCTACGGCAAGCCTTCCTCGCCATTCGCTGTCAATAGCGGTGTGCGACTGAGCTGCCGTGTGTCCCCATTCCTCTTCAATTGTGCAATCGAAGACTTTCCGTCGAGTGATCTAGGTTTCCAACATTTTAGCCTAAAGCTTCCACCGGGTGAACGCACGATCGACAGACTATGCTGATGATATCGTCTTACTTGGTGACGATCATCAGGGAATACAACTCAATCTGGATCGTTTGGTGGTTGAAGCATCTAAAAATGGCATGAGCTTTGCCCCATCAAAGTGTTAAGTGCAGCTCCAGGACTGGCCTCCACCGGCTGCCGTGCTCACTCTTGTAGGTGCACAAGTTGAACCGGTAAATAGTTTCGTCTACTTTGGGGGCCGTGTTTCTGCTGACGGCATTAGCAGCAAGGAAGTTTCTCTTCGCATCGCTAAAGCTCGATCAGCATTTACCGATCTGAGGCACTTGTGGTGTCGTCCCGACGTCTCATTCTCTCTAAAGAGTCGTGTTTACAGTGCATCTGTTCGTTCAGTATTGTTGTATGAAAGCGAGTCCTGACCAATTCGCGTGGAAGACATGCGTCGCCTTTCTGTCTTCGACAACGGTTGCTTAAGGAGGATCGCTCGTGTTTGGTGGCAACATTGAATTCACATTGATGACGTGCGACATCGCATCCTGGGGAATGTAAATATTCTCTTCAACAAACTGGTTTCGCTGCGCCATTTGAGATGGCCCGGTCATGTCCTATGCATGGCACCTGAGTGTCTACCGCGTAGCGTTCTGTTCGATGATCAAGGATCTGGATGGAGGCGACCGCGTGGTGGTCAGCCTTCCACTTGGCAACAGCACATGAAATCGCTGACGACGCGTCTAGCCGACGTGTGACCTGTACGTCTTCCAGGATGGCAATCCAATGATGAGGAGTGTTAATGGTTAAACATGCTTGAAAACATGGCCCGTAACCGGAACTAGTGGAAGAATTGTGTACAGAATTGTATTGATTCGCATGTTTAATACTTCAAACATTGAAAATGACAAAACAGAGAAAAATCGGCGTGTGAAAAACAACTTAAAATGTTTTGCCCCATTTTTTGTCAAAACGTTCCTTTCTTCCCGCGGCACAGTAGCTGAAGTGTGTTGCTCACCTTCAACTACTATGCCACGATGATTATGATGCGGCGACTCTGCCCCTTATCCGCTAATCTCCATGGCTTTTGTTAGCTCTATGTCTAATTACTAAACTGTCGAGATTAGTAATACTAGTGTAGCTAGGTGCACCATAGCTATAATGTACAAGCTTGGCCAAAAGGGAAGACTAACGTTTACCCTGGCAGTGAGGCAATCACAGCCAGAGAGTTAAGAGCACCCGGTTGTCCATAACTTCCCGTGATTTTCCAACCTAGAAGCATTTACTGTGGCATCATACCCAACCACTTGACTCCAAGATCACATACTGGCATAACATGTGCGAAATGCACATTATACGTGCGCTATGGGGGGGGGGGGTTGAGTGCGGAACAGGGTAGAAGATGGCGCAAACCGAAACGTACTCTTGTAAACCAAAAGATCGCCACTTTTCTGTAGAATGGCAGAAATGTAATGTCTGTTAAGACAGCGAAACTGATTGAAAGTAGCAGTGGTAGGCCTCAAAAATATCGGCTAGGTTTATTTAATTGGCTATCCGTTGCAGCATTTGAAGGAACAGGCGATCATCGTTCCAGTGGATATGGCGTGAGAACTGAAGGTGACTAACTCGAAAGTTCTGCCGTTGAAACTGGATGTTGAGCGAAGAAGATGAGGAACGTGGAATGATACATTGATTGTCATTGGCATAACGACAATTGGTTATTGGTTCCCGTTCAAGTGACACGTCAGTATTTGTGGTTCCGAATGGTTGAATGACGAATGAATTGACGGAAGATTAAGACTATGACGACCATTAGATTAGTACCGGTGAGAGTATACAAACGAAAAATATGGCATAGGTTCAGTAGTAGTCGAAAAGCGCAGACTAACTTCTATACAACAAAACACGGTCAACATTCAAAATCGCTGACTCAGTTTCGCCACATAAGAGCAGCGTACCAATAGCCCCTGGAATCTGAGTCCAGTAGTTGGAGATTCCATAGCGTTTAGATGCAGGTATGGCAATTTAGAAAAGTGGGAAACATTTAACCAATTTATCGCGGTTCAATATCCAGCTGGGTGAACGCGGTTTAGCACAACTAGCGTGACCGCAGGACATCAAGCGACTTGTCCTGGATCATCGGTGCATGTAAAACCCCCCTTTCCATATTCGATGGGTCCACCAGATGAGCAGTAACGATGTTTACGAGTTGGTGCCCGGTGAAAAAGTCGCCGGTGCGGCACCGAATCAATTGATGTGCTTCAACTGAGAAAATAATCCCGGAGATGACATCAGAAGCAAAAGTGGGATCCTTGGACTGTTTCAATTGTGCTGAGAGAACTTTATCACTATGTTAGGTTCAACACAAGACTTACTGTAGCGAAGGCGACAGTGCAGTTTTTGGATGAGTGTCTTTCGCGTGGTGAATTTACCAAACACTTGGATTTTTTGTGGTGTATTGGCCTGGTGCGAACCACCGAAAACAAGCATGTTCGCCTAAGCGTCTTTTGCTTCAGATGTCATCGCCGGGATTATTTTCTCAGTTGAAACAGTCCAAGAATCCCACTGTGTTGAGAGAACTTAATCAGTACGTTAGGTTCAACACAAGACTTGCTGTAGCGAAGGCTACAGTGCAGTTTTGGATGAGTGCCTTTTGCGTAGTGAATTTCCCAAGCACCTTTGGATTTTCTGTAGTGTATTGGCCTGATGCGAACCACCGAAAACAAGCTTGTTCGCCTAAGCGTCTTTTGCTTCTGATGTGCTTCGATCGATCACGACGACTGGGTCACGCGCATCGCGTAATTCCGAACAGACTACCTCGAGGTGGGCTGTTTAGCATTGCTGTGTCTGGCTGGCTTAACCCTCATGATGGCCAGATGGTAAAAATGCATGGAGAAATTGGTTGAGAGACTTAGACGAGCTGGTGCCTACCGCTTTCCCAGATTGAGACCAACGGAATCAGTTAGGTAAGTGGTAAAACGCTCTAGTCGATACTGCTTAGTTGCGAACGCAAAGGTTCCGTTGTGTATGTTCGACTGGCTGTTAGTGGCCACCTTTCCAATCTACAATCATGGCATCTAGTGACTCATCGCGGTTAGAGTTCTGCCTATGTTCAATTTTCCCGTATTCACGTTTCTGGTATGGCAACCGGGTTTACATGCTTGTGCTGTTTGAAGCAGAGGATAAAGCAGTGACCCAGACGGTAGGGGGCCAGGACTACGTCGTAAAATGAAGACTCGATAAGTTTGTCTAAAACTTTTTGAATGAATTACAAAAACAACCTAAATGTTTGGCCGAGCAAAGGCTGTGAAACAGTTGGGTGAAACACGCATGGCTGTATAACTTCTTAAATAGTTTGTAGATAATATGCCGTACATCGTTGTGAAGGCACAAACAATGCGACCTTTAGACGGAAGCGTTCTGCAGCGAAGTAAATAACGGGTGTGATGAAGCTGAGAGGAGGTACTTTGTATAAGTTCCTGGGGAAATCAATAATGGTGGTAAAATATATTCCACGGTATCGATAACCGAGTGGCACATTCAATAAAAACGGACTCTAATTTCCAAAGACGGTTTAAATCTGGTCACTCGACATAAGCAACATTAGACCGATAACACAATCGGCTAGAGAAATCCCTGTATGCGTTAAATATTTGCGAGAAATCCCTACTCACTACAATGGATGTAGTAACATAAAAATCGTAAGTAATATGAGCAAACATTCAAGCCAAAACCGAGCCCCTACTCAATTACGGACGACAAAAGTCGCTTTAGATGACGAACGCCACTGAACGGAACAAGATAGTAATGAAAATCTGCCCCGCTGCTGAACCAATACCACTACGAAGGCAAACATCGAAAGCGTGGAGAATTGTTGCGTCAGAAAAGTGGTATTTTGTGTGAAGGCTAGACCTAGGTAAACTAAGCTCCCGTGTGAGAAGCTGAATCGGAACTCCGAACTGACTTTACTACTCAGTGGCCGGATGTCACAAAAGGGATGATAAAAGCACTGAGCTACATAAAAAGCAGCAACCTGGAAGGTACGAATGAAGTCCGGGTATTGATCTTGTGCAGAGGAGAAGGGTAACAGGAATAGAGCAATGTTGGCACCCTGGCTGTTGGATGTAGATGGAATATGAGGATGCGCAATATCTTGCAAGGTAAAAGCGTTCGGCGACTGGGAAAATGTGCCGCAAACTCACGCGGCCGTCGATAACCATGACAATACTGGGAACGTGGAACACACGTAGCTCATCACGTAGCGAACCATCTCGCTCCAAATTGGTCGCAGCAACCGAAACACCAACCGCGGTCAGCTCGTCAGCAAGCTGGGACCACAGTGGCCATATGCGCTGACAAGGTATACAGAAGTCTGAATAGCCCAATATTAGTAGCGGAACGGACCGGCTTCGTGGTAGATGCGTCAAGCGGTATGAGCGAAAATCAATGTCCTGAGAAAAGATGGAAAAAATGTGAGATAAGAAACTTGGAAGAATCAATCAGCCGAGATAAATTAGCAAAATTCGACAGGATAGTATGATATCGCCAAGACGACCAGATACTTGCAGATGTCACAAAATCAGCAAAGAATCGACCAAAGACTAACATCTGATAAACTGCGATCCAACGCAACAGTTAGAAATAATTCCTCAGGTATGTGTAAGGGCATATAGCAGATTATGTCCCGATTCCCGAGTTTGAGAAGTCCATACCTGAGGCTGGGATGGCACATTAAAAATAGAGCCGTAGAGGAAAGATGGTGGCAACTCTAAAATGATAAGCATGATTGTTCAATTCAGACCCATGGGAGGAATCGCGGTTTACTTAAACCGTAAATGTAAGTCATCCCCATTTATAAGAAATGTTATCAAATGCCGTGCAAAAGCATCAAGAAATTACCGCCGACGTCATTGCCTCCAAACACCACACATGCGTCATCTTAATGATTGTGGGAAAGGAAAATTAGTGAGGCAAGGTTGACATCAGACCAAGCAAAAGACGTATTCAATGTCCATCCACATAGTGTCAGAGTTTGGAACAGCGCCATAGATACGAATGCCACACAACTGTCGTCCCTATATCTGAAATGTACTTTGACTCAAAAGATGGCGGCCAAATTGGGCCTTTACGTAGGGCAACCGTTTGTGTCTCTTTTCGACCTATTTAGCTATATCATGCCGTTGAAGGCTGTTTTTATTAGAATGGTCAATGGTTGGAAACCAAACAAGTTGTCTCCTGGTGCACCAAGTCAGGGGCTGTAAATGATATGGCACCAAGCTTGTAAATGCGGACAACTGTTATATGCCCGTTGACACTGGTACGATCTACGTAAGCCAGGTCACTGCTTACTGAGGATGATGAAGGACGAAAGTTGCAAGCAAGACAAAAGACGACTAGATAGTGGGGTATGAAATTACTTATGTTTAAGTTGGGTGCTTTTGGACCGTCGCGGCCTCCAGATTGGATCAGTGTAGCGCTCTGTGCTAGATTCGACACTACGGGATATACCCCGCAGTCGGCACTAGCAGTACGTATACCATCGTTTCCTAGCCGAAGTGTCTGTTTAAAGTGGATCTAATGATGAGGCATCTGTAGAGTAAGGCTGATTAAGACGCAGGGTTAAAAAGCTGCAAAAAAGTTGTCTAGTATATGCCACGTTATAACCACAAGAAACTTAACTGACCACGACCGTGCGTTGCTGACCATCGCAACGAGACTGGACTTCAACGCTACGAAACTGGACCTTAACGTGGTGCGGTGGTCTACGTGACTTAATGGTCCACTGAGCTAGGCTGGATTGTGCTTTTGTACCATCAGAGCTACCCAAACATGAATCAATGGTTGGAGACCTGACATACTAAGGTCAGTTAGGAGGTGGAGTAAGCCCAGTACTTCATAAAATATACTATCAGTAGCCCAGTGCCGAAACCCCACTGCCTTGCGATCAGTTTTCGAATAAAAGGATCTGGTTGAGAATTGTAATCGTGTATCTGCCTAGGCTTGGGCAAAATGACAGTATTCTGCCCAAGAAACAATACATAACAACTCTCTTCAAACAAGTTCTTGATGCTTAGGCCGTCGCAAAAAAATCTACTAGTCAGGGCTTCCCGTTTTCATAGTTCCCTTCTCGCGCTTTTTAATCCTTATTGTCACTTAGATCCGCCGGGTTTCAACCCCCCTAGTTCTTAGCCCTTCTCCATCTTGTCTTCTAGTTTCCAAGCACAAGCAACCACAGGGCCGCAGGAGCAGACGGACGTCCTCCAGTCCTCTTTACATTCGGGAAAAGAGCTCTCGTGAATGATTCACACAACTTACTGGTAGAGCTGTAGAAGCAGGGCACAGTACTATCAAACTGGAGACGCTCCGTCATAATCCAAATAATCAAGAGAACTTCACGTTGGGAATGCGACAATCATAGCGGAACCAGCCTAATATCAAATGCCTCCAAATTGCTTGCGTCTTTTGTTATTCATAGACTGACTAGCATCCATGAAAATGAGACACATGGTTCCATCGAAAACTAAGCTGCATTCACCAAACCCATACTTTATGACAGTTGTTGGAACAGCCCATGTGTTGGCAACCAAAGCCAGCCGTGTTTCTCAACATCAAAAGTGTCTTCAATCTGATGAATCGATATGCATTTTTGTACCGCTTGATAAACGGAGTATGCCCGAGATATATGTGAACATCATCAGAGCGCTATACGCGCGTAGTCCGGACAGTGAGTGCTTGCTGCAAACTACCATTGCCCCTCAATATCTTCAGTGGTAGAAAACAAGGACTGCAGCTGTCAACTTTCCTCTTCAACTTCGCAACTGACACATTTATGGAAACTGCGTTCACGGGACTAGATCTAGGTGGTTGAATTCTTTTCGTGTAGTATGCGGATGACATTGTCCAATCCTATAACGGTTCACCAACTCGCCAAGCAGCACAGGAGAGAACAACACTGCCTGTTAGCCGTTTCGGGCTGTTTTACTCCCTCCGAGTGCAAAGTTTTCCTCCTAGATTGGCGGAGACCACTCCCTGCACTGACCTTTAGTAGGGGTCAGTTAGGAGTAGTTCAAAAGTTAAACTAGCTGGGCAGCTATACGATCCAATGTAGAATATAAATTGAAGTGACGAAGCGTGTAACAAATGGTGGAGGCGCAATTTCCTAATTTCGCCATTCATGTCGCCGGTGCGACATCACAGTTTCCATGGATGATAAAGTCTACAATACAGCCGTCCGTTCAACTATACTGTAAGCGCGTGAGCAAGAGGCGAGTTCAGCGTCTCGTATTCGGTGCAAGAAGCGGGAGTGAACCTCTCAGTGAACCTCTCAGTCGGCCGGTGGCCGAGTGGTCGGCACGTTTGCTTTCCAACCATAAGGTCGCCGGTTCGAATCCGCGTAGGGGTGGGCGTCCTCGCGGTATACTTAGCCCGCGCGCGACTAGTGGTGGTCGCGCGGCAGCGAAGCGTCGTTACGGCGTATAAGCTGACACATTTTTTTCTCAGCACAATTATTTCATGCAGCAGGTGCCGATTGCTTTGTGGTTATTGCAAGTACTCTGCACCATGTAATTATCTCGTGTCTGACGGCCTTCAACCTTGTCCTCGTAATCGGCAAATCGGATCGGACAGGTTTTTCGAAAAGACAATCAGAGCGACCCGGCGCGACTTAGTGCACCATCATAACTTGGCGACGGAGAATCTTTGATTGGAGAACCAGAAAAAGCTGTTTTCAGTGGAAGTGTAACACAAACAGAAACGATTTGGAGAAAGTCATATATGGATAATTGAGAATACTTCCCAAAGTCTTGCGGTACAAGCAAGCAAGTAATGAAAAGCAGCAGTCATCTTTTGGTGCAGTCATCATCATCATCATCATCATTACACGCTAGCTGGAGGTGGAAAACACCTCAGCTATTGTACCGCAATACAAAAGGCAAGAAAAGAAAAAAACAAACAAACAGTGGCACGTCCGCTGAGTCCCCAGTAACGGTTGGACATCGTTCCGGAGAGCTAACAGCTGGCTGCCGTAAAAGAAAGTCATATTATGCCTAACGATTGAGATCGTGATTGGAGGGGGATGCTAAACAGGAGGGGGATGGACAAAGGAAATCACAACACAAACGCCATTGGGGCCGGCTCCTAGCCACATCAGCAAGTGTGTCCAACCAAACGTGTTCACCGTCCTTAGGACCCCAGCCAGGCAGTCGGGATGCACCAACCGACGCCAACTTCGAAGTGAGGGTTTTCATTTCTCTCGACCAAGTCATCACTTGGCCTCCCCTCCTCATCTTCCAACCGCACCCACAACGCACAAACAATGCACGTCGCGGGAGTCGGTGTGCTGGCATGCGCAACACGTGGCCCAGCCATCGGAGCCTGGTGCGTGATATAATGGTGCTGAGCGGTTCACTCGCTCTTCCTGCACCAAATATGCGACGCCGAACACGCTCATTGCTCACGCGGTGTTCCCACCAGACATGAGCTAAGCTGCGAAGGCAGCGATGATCGAATGTGACGAGTCTCTTCATGTCTGTCGACCTGATGGGCCAGGTTTCACAGCCATATAGGAGAGTTGAACGGACGGCTACGTTGTAAACTCTGCCCTTGAGGGCGAGAGTAATGTCGCGTCTGCGCCACAGGTGGCGGAGATTGGCAAAAGCACCTCGAGCTTTTGCTATACGGTTCGTAACCTCATCTTCAATCCCACGGGTGCTAATATAGCTGCCCAGGTACTTAAATTACTGAACGACTTCTAGCAGATCACCACCAAGCGTTAGTGCAGGGTTGGGTCCCTGCCAATCTTGGAGAAGTACTTTGCATTTCGATGGAGCAAAGCATAGCCCAAAACGATTGACAGCCAGTGCTAATCGGTTCAGTGCTGTTTGGCATGTTTGGGAGCTGTCACAGATTAGGGCAATGTCGTCCGCATACTCCAAGTCAAGAAGTCGCTCACCAGGGAGTAACTCCACACCTTCTATGTCGTGTCCAGCGAACGCTGTTTCTATGACTTCATCAATAGCGAAGTTGAAGAGGAAAGGTGACAGCGGGCATCCTTGTCTCACACCGCTGGTGATACTGAAGGGTGGCGACAGTTTGCCACAAACCCTCACCCTGCCCGAACTATGTGCGTACAGCGCTTTGATAATGTTTACATATTTATCAGGCACACCTTTCCTCAGCAGACAGTCCCAAAGGGCACATCGATCGACTGAGTCGAAGGCACCTTTTATGTCAAGAAACACGACAACGGTGGGTCGCCAATAAACATGGCGGTGCTCCAACACTTGACGCAATGTGAAGATGTGGTCGATGCAGCCCCGACCTCGACGAAATCCGGCTTGCTCTTCACGAATTTGGCTTTCACGAGTGCCAGTCAGTCTGTGGAGAATGAGAGAGGCAAGCAATTTAGAGGCAATCGGAATCAGACTGATCCCTCTATGATTGCCACATTCTA